GAGCAGTGTGTCTAGGTGTGTCTCAGTGAGGAGTGTGCAGGAATGGATTGGTTGGTGCTAATTCCCCACTTTCACTATAAACACAAGCTTCACTTAATCCTCGCAACACAATGACTCTGATGGGAACACGAAGAAGCTTGGTTGGTGATCCTAGCCTCTGAGTACCAATGGTAATCTTGTAGGCATACTTCAGCAGCTGACCACGATAAGTTGGAGGAGCATCACATGGAAGTATCTCTCTGTATACAAATGATCGACTTTCACCAGGCAGGAGTTGGAGGTCACAGAAGAGGATCTTTGGTTTTGTTGATAGAACAACACGGGGCAATCATAAAGTCATAGCAACTAGTTCATTACGTGACGTCGCAGTGTCTTGGGACACCATTGATGCCATTGATGTGGTGTCGCAGTACTTCGTTCACTATCATGGGGTGTTGTGGGACCTCACAATTTGGTGTGAAAGTCAAAATTTGCCCGACTCTCGCCTGTTCCAGTGTGGATAGAATTAGCACCTGTCACATGGTCGGCAAGAGTTGTTGTTTTACGCGGGCGCTTCTCTCTAGGTATCCGAGAACCTCACAGGTGGGTGTGTAGGTTAGCTTGGCCACGGCTCTCGCTGTTACTGCTTAGTGTTGATTTCATTGAATCACAGCTGTTGCTGTCTAGCACTGAATTCACTGGCTTAAGCACTCTCCGTCACCATTTAACAGTAATTTCACTCATATGTGGGGTAATCATGATCTCTAATCGTAATTGGTTAAAATCGATTGCAGTTTTGAAGTAATCGTAATCGCAATCGATTACATTATTATTTTGAGCAAAGTAACTGTAATCGATTATATTCAAAATGTAATCGCAATAGCGATTACTTTCACGATTACAATAGTAAGTACATACTGGTACCCAATTTCCTTTTCTTACAATACTAAGCTCAAGATATCCTATAGTCATCTACATTCAGTCCTTTATACGACTCAGCAAACATTTGCCATTTATATTTTGTCTGTAATACTCAAGCTGTAATACCATTGTCGATTAAATGCCTGCACCATTATGTATAATGCATTATGTCTACCTTTTTCATCTCAGAAAATATGATTTATTTGTACCAGGTTGACAAACAGTACTGTAAACTGAGTTTTGTAGTACATTCGCTTATTTATGTAAATTCCTTTTGAAGTAATCATGATTGTAATCATAATTATGCATCATGTAATCGTAATCGTAATTGATTACATCCATTTTTCTTGCAATCCTAATTATAATCGTAATCATAGCATTCCCATGTAATCGCAATCGTAATCGATTACATTACCAATGTAATCGACCCAAGGCTGATCCCACGCCTTTTCGAAATGGAATTGTCACTTCTGGTGGGAATTTGCTAATATCCCATTAGGAGGGAATGATGGGAGGGGGGAGAGTTAGGGTAGAGTCAAAAAAATTTTACCCACCCAGCTACAGAAACAGGAAGGGAATTACTACGCCATGTAAGGTTCCTCATAACTCGATCTGTGAAGGATGTTACTTCACTACGTGTTTCCTGTTCAACACCTCTGCCCACGTGACCCACGTGACCTCCACTGTAAAAAAAATTGAAAATTCATTGTATGTTCCGTTTCCTTTCCCAAATGAAGGCTTTTGTTAACCCCCCCCACCCCCCCCCCAAGTCAATGTGTATTAGCCCCTGTCTCTTAGCAATAACAATTATATAAATTTGGGTAAATGCATTTAGTTTATATAATCCAATCACCCCACTGTAATTTTCCATAAGCTGTTAGTTGCCATGTTCTGTTCACGTGAGGGGAAATTCCTCCATCAGTAGGCCGACCTTGAGAATGTAGGGTTAGCCCGGCCTCTCCGTCAGAGCCCGTCCTCACAGGCACCAGTCCTCACTTCAAGCTCACGAAAATCGGACGGGTGATCTAACTCAGTCAAGCTGAGCCCCGTCCTTAACTAACATTCATAGCTTACAGTGTTAATTACGGTGCATCTACTAATAGACTGTGACCAATATAGTTTTACCAATAAATGGAGAAAAGACCATTTTGGGTTTGTAACTTAACCCCTCAACTTATTTATATATAAGCCAAGTTAAAGGGAACTCTACCCAAAGGTGGCAGCGAAAAGAGAGAACCATTAACTGAACCAGTGAAGTAGTGTAACTAACTGTGCAAGGAACCGACTTCACTGTAACCCAAGTAACAGTGAAATTTTCGAAGTGTTATTCTCCATCTACAGTAAATGTCATCCCAGATCGAAATACATTTTTTTTATACATTTAAGTGAGTAACATAATTCACTGTAGTGTGGCAACACCCCTGACGACAGGCCGATGACTGGAGTCCCCATCTCAAGTGGACGTGACCCAGCACAATCGTTTTCGCCTGCTGTGTGGGAACCCATCACTACAAAGAACTCCAACGTCTCAGACACCCCACTGTCCCCAACTCTCAAACAACAACTAACCCATACAGCTACAGTACAACCCTGTGCCCGAGGCACAGTTGAAATGCTT